CAGTGTGAAAATGTACAAGTAATGGTACTAACATATGGGTAACCCTGAAAGTTCGCTGGAAATAAAGAGGTTTGTTTTAAGTGCTTTTGAAACAGATTTGGAGGTTTTTATTTTAGGAAATGCACCCCTGTATTCCAAGTCTTTGGATGTTTCAGGCTTTTACATATTTTTATGATGGTGCCAAGATGCATGTTCATGAAAAATACAATGATGTCATGAGCTGGAACTTCTGTGTCACTGCTGTTTGAGGGGACAATATGTAACATAAGTGTTTTGATCAAGTTTGATGTGACTGTTGCATTCATTAGCACATACCATGCAGTCAATGAGATACTTAAATGTACAAACTTTTACACATGTACACTGCAATCCAGGGTTTTAGCCAAGGTGAAATTATAGCATAGGGGTATTTTTGGTTCGATGACTAATGCGAGCGCGTAGCGCGAAGCCCTTATGGCGTGGGGTCCGGGGCCCGCTTAAGGGCCCCGGAAAATTTTGGACTCTAGATGCTCTGTGGTGCAATCTGAGGTGATTCCCTGCCACTTTTCCCTGATTTTTTTTTAGCAGAAGTGTTTAAAATAATAAGAAATTTTGTTTTATTTGTTTCAATGATTGATACCCTTGCTCCTGTAAAGTTCCTTCTGTTTTCAAATTTTAGATTATGTTTACAATGTATAAATTGTTCCAAGATTGATGCTTTCTGATGTTTAACCATTTTTAGTAGTTCCTCAATGTTTTATAAAAAAATTGGGATTTACTTTGTCAATGTTAAGTGCGAGAACAAATCGCATGAACATTTCAAATTTGGAGGTCTCACTCTCAGACAGAAAAAATCGTCGGAAATTGCAGTTTCAATATGCTACAACACAATGTGAAGGAGAAATCTCATTTTTGTTATGATAAAAAATATAATTGTAGATAATGACGATGAGAAATAATCACCGGGAATTGCTTCCTATCCCGGCCGCGGCCGGCCCCGGCCCGGCGTGCGGGCACGGGCCAGCCCACACACTGGCTACGCCGGCGAACTACGCGACCAAATTTTCCCTCAGCATTTGAGAAAGCTTACGCATTCGTGGAGCGCTAAAAAACTTGCTTTGTTGCAATACTTGCTGATTGGTTTTGTCCTTAGAACAAACAGATCCGTTTTTACTACCAAACTTATTGAACTGTTATTATCAGCAACGAGAAGTGTAGTCAAAAATCCAAATTTTCGACAGCGACATTCTTCGAGAAGAATTCTTCACGTGCGGCCATCTTTGAAGACGGATCCATTGATATCGTAGGGGTGCTTAAACTTTCTTTGGACATCGTTTCTCGAATAAATCCTTTACAAAAATTATATTCCGACGTTGAAGAACTTATTTTCAAACAGTAACATGTTTCGGACTTGATAAAAAGTATTATTTATAATTAAATAACAGTTGAAATGCTTGTAATTAATATTGACCTTAGGAAAGCACACCCGATACCGCAAAATGGTGTGGTCCACAGAGCGCTCTGTACGTGACCTGTTGGTGACACGTACGTCCGTACGGAGCGCTGTATCTACGCAGCACAAAACAGCACGTGCTTATTGCTTTCATAGCGAATGCGTGTGGCGCAGCATCACGGTAGGGGTATCGTACGGGGTACGTGCGGTGGGATCGTTGTTTATTTTTCGCTGTGTCGTACGGCCAGTGCGCAATGCTCAAAGTTGCTGCGCTTGTATACGAAAAAACGGCAGATATTTTTTTTTCGCAATCAAAATTTATAGCGTAGCGGTAGCGTAGCGGCGCAATTTAAGCGTAGCGCTTATTTCCGAAAGCGTAGTGGGTGCTAGCGCTATTTGATGCCTGGCTAGAACACTGCTGCAATCAATTTTAGGTTCATAAATTATACAGAAAATCCCAAAGCTGTGAAGTGTAAATTACCTACATTGACATCACAGCAACATTAGAAACAATTGCGAACATGTGCACGGGCATTGCAAAAAAGTGTGCGTAAAATGTGGTCATTACTTTCATACAAACACCGGGCTAGGATATTTCATGTTTTAGTGAAATTCATTTTACAGCCTTTTGATTCTGTTATTAACAGACCTTGACAAATCCCAAGCATGGAGCACAATACATACATACTCCTAAAAAGGCACAAACTGTATGGTTATTGTTATTGAGGGTTCAATGTTAAGGGAGCAAACTCACCGCAAATCCAAAATGTCTTGGGAGGTTTTGGATCTCAATCTTGAAGATCTCTGAGGTGAAGTGCTGTTGTGTCCGATAGTGATAAGGATCTGTTATGGCAGCGCCAGTCACTGGTACGTCAGAGGTGCTGGTGGAATGGTTATCTTGTGGGTCAAGACCTGATGCACAAATGAACAGATTAAAAGACCAACTTCGATTAGAGAAGAAAAAAAAGATTAAATTGGTATTTTTTTAGGTATATTAAAGTCTAATATGGGCAAGTGAGATGTCTATGGCTATTGTCTAGGTCTTCACCCAAAACAATTACATGGGAACAATCTGACAATAGCCGTAGCCATAGCTCTAGAAGCCCGTTTCAGACACAGCCTAAGTAACAGATCAACAAAGTTGCAAGTTATGCATTAGGAGCATCTGATTCCAAATACATTACACAAATCTTTGTGCACACATCGTCGCTTTGCTCACGAAGTGACAAAAACCTCAAAAATCGATAATTATTTGATTTTGAGTTTTACTAGCCATTTCATTATAGTTGTCTCAATGAACAATTTGACCAAGTTTCAAGGCAAAATATTGTTTACTTTCTTAAACAAACAATTGACAAAAAGCCTGAAATCGGTGATTTTCATTTTTAAGTGTAAAAAAGTGTGAAATGTTCTCACTAAGTGACAAAAAGTCACCTCTTGAGCAGGGCCGGAGGAATTATACATTGGTCTACACGCGGCAGGATGGGAGTATACACGCACGCGCGAACGATGTTGAAAAAGAACAGACGCGCACGCTCAACTTTCCTGACGCGCAAAAGTAACAAGTTTGTTGTGTCGAAAAAAAGTACAAATAAGTAAAGCCTCCGCGATTCATGATCCCACGAAGTGACAAAAATGATGTACAAAGTAATTGGCAAAATATGGGAGCCAAAGTATTGATGTTGTAACGAAGTGCAAAAAAGTTTTATTAATGAATTACTGTTTAATTATGAACTATTTTTAACCAACAACTATGAGTTAACAAAGAGCAAATCATATCTTATCGGACAATGCAAAAAATTCCGAATTCTGTTACTGCAAAGTGGTAAAAAATGTCTTTTGAAAAAATGAATAACTTCAAATGCAATTATCTCAGGATGAACTTTTGTCAAATTTTCAGGTTTTTGTCACTTCGTGAGCAAAGCGACGACATGTTGCACAACGTGGAAAATGCTTTTTGAAGACCATTCTATCTTTAGCAAGGAGAAATCCATTGTATAGACTTTTTGCTGCAGAGCACAGATATATAATATACGAGACCATTGTAGGCTTTAGATGTACAGTATGGGATTTAAGTCTGGTGTATTAAAGGTGTCTACACAGCTACTAGCTGGAAAAAAATGTAGTTGATAGTTGAAGTCAGCAATGTGTTCCCCACTTCTGTCAATAGAGCGTGCAAGTTGACCTTAAAAACCTAGGTGATTTTACTAGGTTTAGCCAGTCAAGGGCAAAGAATGGGTTATGAACAAGAAAAAAAATCAATACAATTTACAACACATTAAAAAAATATTGCAAGTTGATTACTATAGTAAATTGAAGAAATGTGGACCTCCACTTCCGTTCATTGGGTGAATTCAAACACGGGAGTCCGTGGCTAGACTAGTCAGTGTTTGGTACCAAGATGTTCACATGAAAAGTGAATGTGAACTGGCGAGACTTGAATGCTCTATAATTGTACATAATCTGTGTAGCACCACTAGTCTGTTGTATTACATTATGAGCTCCATGTCTGTATGATGTTTAAATGCAAAGCAATATTCTAATATTTCTTTTAGATGGACTCAAGGGTACTTCAAATTTGGGTAATTGCAAAATCAATGCTGTAAAATATGAATGTCGTTGTAAAGTTAGCACCATACAAGATGTATCTTAATTTGCACAGTATCCGAGGAATTGCTGCTTTTTATATGTTCATTAAAGCTGCTTTTTCCTTGTGTAATTTAAAACTCTAAACACAAATAATACAGAAATGTACTATCACCAAATCGGTGTTTGAGCTCTTACGTCTTTCTGATACCTAGTAATATTTGGGGAAAAAAGTTGCAGGGCAAACTATGTTTCTAAAAGTCACATACTTTTTATAGGACAAGCAAATTTGCGTGTAAAAGCAAGATCAGTGTTAAATAATAAAATTGTACACTAGCAACATTTAAATAAACAGTGATTTTCCTGAATTTTGTATTGAAAACCTAATTCTTGTTTGTACAAATGTAATTGTTGAAAAATCCCTACTGAGTAAAGGAGCTTGCTGGTCAATGCTGAAAGTACAAACCTATACCCTCAATATTCATGCCACAAAAGTAACCCAACATATTGGTTAGCAAAGGGGATGACAAGGGTTTAAGTCTTTTGTGGCTTGTTTCTTTCTTTCCAATAATTAATTCCTGACAGACATAATAGACAATGCACAATATGTACGCCTGTCAATCTTTCTGTGTGTTGCATTCTGATTGGTTGGAATTGATCAGCATTAGCTACCAATAGGCCACGCCCCTCGACAGCCGATCCAATCAAACATGAAAGCTGATCTACGTCTTTTACCAAAATGAAACTTCAGAGGAAATACTTACCTTTGTAAGCGCCAAGCCGGAAACCAACAGTGTTATCTGTCAATGAAAATAAGAAGACATGATACTGAAACTATTGCACAATTTATCCAGGGCCAAGTTTCATGAAGACCTGACAAAAAAATTAGGGGAATAACTGAGAACGAATCCTAGAACTTTCTGTTCAGCTTTCATAACAGGTGCATTAAGTACATGTACATGTGTGCACACTTTATATCCAGGCGAGGGGGTACTTGTGAACGGAGCGCATACACACAAAAAATGAAGAGATTGCATAAATAAAAATAAATGCCAGTTTCACTCAACGATGCCATCTACACTCTTGCTGATGGTAAACTCACACTTGTTGCGATAACTCTCTAATACTGGCTGTGAGTGTGCAAACAAACAATGAAAATGAAAGGAACAAATCAGACATCTCCAATGTCAGGAATATTTACCCCACAAAAGATTCACATGCTGTATAGTTTATCTAACAAGAAATCCAGGTTGAAATATAAATTTAGTACAAGTAAGGTGACTCTATCTATCTACCCGAGTTCAAAGATCACACCAGTCAAGCTAACCTAACACTATGTGCCAATGTGAACTATCATTGAGATTATAATTCATAAAATCATTCACAATACTACAAATAAATTTAAATAAAATCTATATTTTTATCAACAAATATTTGTCACCTAGCTTACTCACCGATGGCTTAATTGGCTCCAACTCACATGCCATCCTACTGTGGTTCTTCCTGTCAATCAAATGAAGAGTGCACTATTAAACATGAGGGTGTGGGTTCGAATCCCACTCCAACAGGCTTGCGAATTTCTTGTGGTAACCAAAGCTATATATGCACAAGATTCAAACTGGCCCACTAACCTTTGCAAGCTCTGTTATTGAGTGGTTAAGATGTCTGCACTAGTAAGCAGGAGGTCATGGGTTCATATCCCACCCAAGCAAGCTTGCAGAATCTTTGCTTGTAAGCTCTCAGACAGCACTGAATATACAGTGCATTCAAATTTACATTGGTGAAGGTCAAAACCGGGTATTCACATTTACAACTCCCCTACGTAAACAATTAATTAAACTCATTGATTGTGGCACCTGCTATATCAGATTGGGACCAGCCAGCCAACCCCAGCAAGCCTGGTGGTCAAGTAGTCGAGACATCTGCACTAGGTAGCAGGAGATTGTTGGTGCGAGTCTCATTCGAGCAGCTTATGAATTGTGAAGTTTTGGTTTTGTGTTCATTTTGCTGCTTTTTGTTTGTAAACATTTTTTTAACCAACTTCCCCCCCCCCTTTTAATCTTTGGGACTTTTGTGTGTGGAAGGGAAGTTTATTTCAGAAATTGGCTAAAACTTTGCCGAGTTTTAACCGATTCTCAAGAAAAAGAGGTATCATTTCCTGGAATTTTAATGAAATTTCAGGGCAGCTGTACATGTAAGTCCACTTGCCAGAAAACTGTGTCTGGAAACAGTTTTTTGTCAACGAAGATCACATTTCAATTCTGGCCCACAACCATCCCGTGTCTTTGGTGAGTAGCTCACCTTTGTTGCTTCAGCCAGGGAGACATCTCCCCAATGTTCCGTTGCAGCATCTTGGATAAATTCCTCAGAAACTCCCTGGAGTTGGTCTGTTTGGTGGACAGCTGGTCCTCATACGGCTGGTTCCACAGTGGAGTCACCATGTTGTTTAACCTGTAGGTTGGGAAAAGATGTGAAAAGCACATTCAGTATTTCAGAGTCTTAACAAATTTTGGAAAAAGTGAATAGCTCAACTGCTATAAGCCTTTGGCGATATATGGCAGACACAATACAAGGGTGTTATTTGATTTGGGTAATTGGGATAACTTATGCAAAAGACTAGACCCAAACCAAATAGGGCCCTCGTATTGTGTCCACCGTATCTCCAAAGGGTAATGGATTGTGTGTGGAACTTGTCATCTTTCTACATACAACCATTCTCTTAACTACAGTTCATAGTTCTGGTAGTGCATGAGCAAATTAAAGATTAAGCTTGAAACAATGAGGGTAATGTGTTCAACTTAGACAGTTTATCAGATAAAATAAGAACCATCTGAAACTGTGAATCGCACACACACTCTACACAGACATGCAACCTTTAATGATGTACCTTCTCTAGGGGAAAAAACAAGGAAAACTGTCCACATAACAGTTTTACTCAAAAAATGCCAAATGAAGTACTAAATTTACTTAAAGTTCCGTGCTATTTTCGAGTTTCATCCCGAAAAACAGATTTCTTTACCAAACTGCTATTTTTCAAGCAATACAAACGTTATTCACTTTTGAATGAAACACCAAACACCAAAAAGCTCACGTTCAGTTATTGAATTATTACTTTACAATTCCAAATTATTGGTTGCCAAACATAATTTCTGTTCTTGCTGGATAGGCTGGTCCCCCCCCCCTCCACAATCAGTATCAATAATGTACGGACGGGAGTCAATCTGTTGGCAAAGCTGGTCATCAGTTTGGGCCAAGAACAAAAAGGAAAGTTCATGGGTAATTTCTTAGTATAACATTTGATAGCGGAAGTGTAATTACACTTTCAATTTCAAGCAAGAGAGTGTAGGAATTCCATGGTTTCAAATCTTTGTCGATGCAGTGACTATTTGTATCTGTATTTTAAATGTCTTTCTTGATTATCCAAACACCAAACCTAAAGCTTGTGTCAAGTTTCTATATGTGAGATATAAATAAATATGTTGTAAGCAAAATGTAGTGAACGACCTGAAAGATGTTGTGTCATTTTTTGATCTGCATCTAATTTTATTCAGTTACAGATAATTCAAGCTTTACGTTATGTCTGTGATCTTTTATGAGCTGTAAAACTCTGTAAAAAGTGCAGAAAACCACTTTTTTTTCAAGTAAGCTAGATATAAGCAAAACCTTAGTGACGGATTACACAATGTACATGTAAAACAGTCTTGAAGAGAAAACAAACAGTTATTCTGAAGCACATCTATGCCAAAGTCAACTGTGAAACTCTGTCTTCTTTGGTTTAGTAAGCATTCTAAACAAGGAACAAAGAACTAATCCTTACAAATCTTAGAGATAAAAAAACACTAAGGGGAAAAAATGCAGAAGCTTTTTGTTTCAACTACACATTACTCCAGGTCTTATATTCGCTGTTAGTATAAAACTGGAGTGATCTTGAAATAGGACAGAACACTCTTTGCTACATCTGAATAAAATGTTGGATATGGAGAACAATGAAGTTGAAAAGCACCTTGAGAACTTCATCAAGACTCACAAAAGAAATTAACAAATACTATGGTTAAGTACTGAAATCATTGCACCAATCGGCCTCCTCTTAAACTTGGTCTTTCTCTTCACAGTCATTCGAGTGAAGTCAATGAGTACAATCATCAACATCTACTTATCCAATCTGGCTGTGGCTGACTTGCTCTTCCTTATGACTCAATGTATATTTGTATTGTGTTCATCCGAAGTGTACAAAGCATTCCAGAGTGTCAAATAAATCCCGGGACATACCGTTATTTCGTTTACGGTTTTGGATTTCGTCCAAAACAAAAACAGTAAACGAACCATTGACCGTTTTGTCGTTTTACAGTTTACGGTTTCTCCGTTTTATAAGTTTAGTAAAATTCATTATAGCATAACGATCGATTATTTTTGTTTTCCAGTTTTACACAAATAACTTAGAAAAACAGGAAAATGGTCAGTATTGAATACACACTGTTTTTTTAATTTTAGTGTCATAGTTAACAGTCCGTGGTGCATTTTGTGGCGGTGGGCAAGGGGGTGGAGGGGGACCCTGCTTTACACGAGTGTTGGCTCGGCATAATTAATGCGTGGTGTGATTCCTGGCGCGGACCCTGACCCCCTTCTCATGCGATTCAGTTGGTGGGGCTTAAAGAGTTGCAAGCAAAAAATGGCGCTGGAAAACTGCAAGGGAGGGCATTACTTTTCACAATGGATACAGGATGGTAAGATGAGCACCAAGGTCTTTGAACATGCCCAAAACAATCGCAACACCTCTGCGCTCTGGCCAGGGCGCCGCAAATGACGCAACTCGGGTGCTGTGAGAGAGTGAATCGTGCGACATTGAAGTGGCATTGAGGCAGCCTAGACACAAGACAGTCGATGTAGTCTCCATGAGAAAGTAACTCGACTGCGATGAACTTGTAGAATAATTTTTAAACTGGACTGTGTATTGACCGTTTTGTCGTGGTATTTATACAGCGCAAGTGACGTCACATGAGTGTATTTTGGACGAATAGAGAGCGCGACGTGAGCTACTAGGTTGTATCAACAGCGAGCAGAGCATAGTGTGAGCGCAGTGACAGCACAGCGGCAGCGACAAGATCGAATAATTGAGCTTGACAGGGGCACATAGAGAGCGAGTTGAGCACATCGTAAGCGTGGGAAGAGCACAGTATGAGCGTAGCTTGAGCTTCTTTGATACAGAAAGTTGTCATTTTCTTGCGTCCTCACTGCGATTGTTAATTTATGAAATATTTTTGGTCGCCATAAGGTCTCCTATGAGATCGCATATAATGTGACAGGTCCTTAACACACAAGGTAGGAAGAGGACTGATATGAATCCCTGAGATATTTCAGCTCACGAAAGTCAGGATCCAGAAAGAAAATATAAACATTTCAGTTTTCGGCCGAAATAGCCCAAACCTTGAAATGTTATCCATATCCGCAGTCATCAAAAATACTCATTTTTGGCCTGAAAATCCAACATCACGAAATTAAGTCAAATGTTCGCACAAGGTGGGAAGAGGCCAGATATGAATCCCTGAGAGATTTCAGCTCACCAAAGTCAGGATCCAGGAAAAAATTAAACAATTCAGTTTTTGGCCGAAATAGCCGAAATCTTGAAAAGTTTTCCATATCCGCAGTCATCAAAAATACTCATTTTTGGCAGGAAAATCCAACATCACGAAACTAAGTCAAATGTTCACACAAGGTGGGAGGGGACTAATATGAATCCCTGAGAGATTTAGGCTCACCAAAGTCAGGATCCTGGAAGAAAATAAACATTTCAGTTTTAGGCCGAAATAGACCAAAAATTGAAAAGCTTTCCATATCTACGGTCATCAAAAATACTCATTTTTGGCCTGAAAATGCAACATCACAAAATTAAGTCCAATGTTCACACAAGGTGGGAAGAGGTCAGATATGAATCCCTGAGAGATTTCAGCTCACCAAAGTCAGGATCCACGAAGAAAATAAACATTTCAGTTTTCGGCCAAAATAGCCCAAATCTTGAAAAGTTTTCCATATCCGCGGTCATCAAAAATACTCACTTTCGGCATGAAAATCCAACATCACAAAATTAAGTCAAATGTTCACACAAGGTGGGAAGATGCGAAATATGAATCCCTGAGAGATTTCAGCTCACTTAAGTCAGAATCCAAGGAGAAAACAATCATTGCTGTTTTCGGCTGAATTAGCCCAAAAATTGAAAAGTTTTCCATATCCGCAGTCATCAAAAATACTCACTTTTGGCCTCAAAATCCAACATCACGAAATTAAGTCAAATGTTCACACAAGGTGGGAAGATGCGAAATATGAATCCCTGAGAGATTTCAGCTCACTTAAGTCAGGATCCAGGGGAAAAAAAATCATTGCAGTTTTCGGCCGAAATAGCCCAAATCTTGAAAAGTTTTCCATATCCGCGGTCATCAAAAATACTCATTTTTGGCCTCAAAATCCAACATCACAAAATTAAGTCAAATGTTCACACAAGGTGGGAAGAGGCCAGATATCAATCCCTTAGAGATTTCAGCTCACCAAAGTCAGGATCCAGGAAGAAAATAAACATTTCAGTTTCAGGCTGAAAGAGCGCAAAAATTGAAAAGTTTTCCATATCCGCGGTCATCAAAAATACTCATTTTTGGCCTCAAAATCCAACATCACGAAATTAATTCTAATGTTCACACAAGGTGGGCAGAGGCGAGATATGAATCCCTGTGAGATTTCAGCTCACTTCAGTCAGGATCCAGGAAGAAAAAAATCATTGCAGTTTTCGGCCAAAATAGCCCAAATCTTCAAAAGTTTTCCATATCCGCGGTCATCAAAAATACTCCCTTTCGGCATGAAAATCCAACATCACAAAATTAAGTCAAATGTTCACACAAGGTGGGAAGATGCGAGATATGAATCCCTGAGAGATTTCAGCTCACTTAAGTCAGAATCCAGGGAGAAAAAAATCATTGCAGCTTTTGGCTGAAATAGCCCAAGAATTGAAAAGTTTTCCATATCAGCGGTCATCAAAAATACTCACTTTCAGCATGAAAATCCAACATCACAAAATTAAGTCAAATGTTCACACAAGGTGGGAAGAGGCCAGATATGAATCCCTGAGAGATTTCAGCTCACTTAAGTCAGGATCCAGGGAAAAAATCATTCCAGTTTTTGGCCGAAATAGCCCAAATCTTGAAAAGTTTTCCATATACGTGGTCATCAAAAATACTCATTTTTGGCCGCAAAATCCAACATCACAAAATTAAGTCAAATGTTCACACAAGGTGGGCAGAGGCGAGATATGAATCCCTGAGAGATTTCAGCTCACTTAAGTCAGGATCCAGGGAGAAAAAAATCATTGCAGCTTTTGGCTGAAAGAGCCCAAAAATTGAAAAGTTTTCCATATCCGCGGTCATCAAAAATACTCACTTTCGGCATGAAAATCCAACATCACAA